CGGGGGGGGGGGTGGATTTTGATTGTGAGAGTCTGTTCAAGGGGAGCACATCCCTTGATAGTGTGTTAATTAAATAAACTAGATTTATAAAAAAATGGAAAACCAAATTTCATCAATTGTAAGAATAGTTCATGTGAGTGGGCAGTAGGATTTTGGTGCTGAGCTCTCTCAGATTCACAGCATAAACCCTTACAATCTGCATTAAGAAACAACTGGTGCCCCCAGTTTGGAGGAATCATTAGAAGGTAATTTGATATTTATTGCCAGTGGGTTATAGAACTACTACTAGTAGAATATTGGAGATCAGGAATCCTGTGATCTCTTCCTGAATCTACAAGGTGAACATGGTCAAATGTTTAGATACAATGTGCCAAACTCTGGGCTTCACTGTATTGGGAGGCATAGTGGATAAGATGTGGGTTTGCCATGTTACAGAGCTCTGTTCTTTTTCTAGCTTTTGTAACTTCCCAGTTAACTATTTTTAAAAGAAGAAGTGGCTGGTGACAGGGTGGATATTACCCAACTTTGAAGAAAGTCATGAGGCTTTGCTCATTAATTAGCACTCCAAAATGTGCAGAAATATGGTTTTAGCTCTGCTGGTGATTATAACTCATAGTATCTTGGCTTCTTGTTACAGAGCATGTGTGGAGAAATTCCTGTCTATCTCTTTGATCCACAGATACAGTTGCCCCGACTGGGCAACGTAGTGAACCAAGCAGCAGATTTGGACAATGTGAAATATCCTGTACATATGAAAGCCCTGGATTTTTCCAGAAAGGACAGAGTAAGGAGACAGAGTAGAAAGTGACTATTCCTTCATGCCTTCTTTGCTTCAGAGTTCCAGGGATGTGATCTTGTCCAGCTGTTACACAGGTTTTCCAGTGGCTGAAGGGGAGACATTAATAACATAAGAACGGCCATACTGGGTCAGACCAATGGTCTGTCCAGCCAAGTATCCTGTCTGCCAACAGTTACGAAAACCAGATGCCCCAGATGAGGGAATACAACAGGTAACTCTCATGTGATCTCTCCCCGTCACCCATTTCCAGACAAACCCGACTCCTAACCTCCATTAATCTATCTAGCTCTTTTTTGAACCCTGTTAAAGTCCTAGCCTTCACACATCCTCTGGCAAGGAGTTCAAGAGGTTGACTGTGCACTGAATGAAGAAAAATTTACTTTTGTTTGTTTTAAACCTGCTGCCTATTTCATCTGGTGACCCCTAGTTCTTATATTGTGGGAACAAGTAAATAACTTTTCCTTATTCACTTTTTCCATACCAATCATGATTTTACAGGCCTCTATCATATCCCCTCCCTTAGTCTCCTACTTTCTAAGATGAAAAGTCAAGTCTTTTTAATCTCTCTTCATATGGGACCTGGTCCAAACCCCTAATTATTTTTGTTGCACTTTTCTGAACCTTTTCCAATTGCAATATATATTTTTTGAGATGAGGTGGCCATATCTGTATGCATTATTCAAGATGTGGTTGTACCATGGTTTTAAATAGAGACAATAGAATATTTTCTGTCTTATTCTCTATCTCTTTTTAATGACTCCTAGTATTCTTTGCTTTTTTCATTGCTGTCATACACTGAGTGGATGTTTTCAGAGAACTATCCACAATGATTCCAAGATCTCTGAGTAGTTGTAGCCAAATTAGCTCCCATCATATTTATCATTGGGATTATTTTTTTCCAATGTGCATTACTTTATATTTATCGACATTAAATTTCATTTGCAATTTTATTGCCCAGTCACTTAGTTTGATTAAATCTTTCTGAAGCTCTTCATAGTCAAGACCAAAGCAGACTATCTTGAGCAGTTTTGTGTCATCTGCAAGTTTTGCCACCACACTGTTTACACCATTTTCTAAATAATGTATAAATAATGTATTTTCTAAATAATGTATAAATAAATTGAATAGGATTGGTCTCAGGACAGACCCTTGGGGGGACCCCACTAATTACCTATCTCTGTTCTGAAAAGTTACCATTTATTCCTACCCTTTGTTTCCTGTCTTTTAACTAGTTATCAATCCATGAAAAGACCTTCTCTCTTATCCCATGACCACTTACTTTACCTAAGAGCCTTTGGTGAGGGACCTTGTCAAAGGCTTTCTGGAACTCTTAAGTAAGCTATATCCATTGGATTTCCCCCTTGTCCACATGTTTGTTGACCACCTCAAAGAACTCTAACAAAGTAAGGCATGATTTCCCTTTACAGAAACCATGTTGACTTCCCCCAAATTATGTTCATTACTCCATCTATTCCTCAACTCTACATAGCTGCTTATGGGCTAGTCATAATCTGTCCAAAATTAAGTACTTTTAAAAAAATTAGTTTTATGGGAATATCTGCTTCTTGTATTTGTGGGTTTTGGATCTTATGGTGTGATGTATGTACAGCTAGACAGAATCTATGTGTTAATCAGGCAGGTCTTCTATGCTTGCATTTGTAACATCTATATATCTCATAGCGATCATGCTATGTAAAGATATAGTCATGTTCTCTCATTTTCTTGATTCTTGGGGAGAAGAGTCAGATGCATTACTTTCTATACATCATCTTGTTAACTATCTGGCTAGCACTGACCAATTCATTTAGTTGTGCACCCCTGTAGCAGTAGGCGCTTATAAATGCAAGTGAATTTGCAGCAAGCCATAGAAGGCAACTGCAGATTTTGCAGCCTAAGAAATGCTTAATAACACCAGAATTGTGTGTACTTCTATTACTGCACATGCTACAGGTACTCCACTCCACTCCTACATGTTAATGCTTCCTGAGCCAAAGGAAATTGAAACATTTAGGTGGTCAAGTCCCTATGTCACATTGTAGGGAGATAAATGTATCCTGACACCCTATTTCTACTGCTGCTTTAACCCTTTCCTTTATCTCTAGTACAACAGTAGCCAGCACAGCAAAAGAGGAGATGCAATCAGTGGAGTACTCTTCCTCTTGTAATGTGCCCATCAGAAGGAGTCTGTTGGCCATCTTAACTTCTGGAAATGAAATCTGGGATTGCAATTTTTATGGACACAAAGCAAATATTAGAAAGTACCCATCTTCTACTAGCACCCATGTTTGAAGGATATGACACTCTTCAGAATGTTTCCATCAATACAATCTCATCTCTCATAAGGATTCTAAGGGATATACTTAGCAGAACATGCTTGCCTGCCTATTAATATCCAGGGTCCCTCACAAGGAATATTCTGAGTGGCATGAGGCAATGCGTCTTTCTGTAAACTATAGATGAAGAGCTGAGGATAGGAACACCTTGCGGGAATATTGCATAACTTTGAGAATATGCCCTGCCACAAGGAATGGTAGTTGAAAGTTGCCCTGCTTAGGACTCCAATGTTAAAAGGAGAGAGGACATGTTCTGCGCTAAGTCTATTTAGATGACTAAAGTTAGTCTTGTATGTGTTTCCTTAACTTGGCCTTACTGCCCCAATTTTGCCAGTATTTATGTACTTCATTGGAACTACCTGTATTGTTAACGTGCTGTACCTGTATAGGTTTCAGTAGGATTGGAGCCTAAATTTTTAGAAGAGATCTTTCTCTTCATTTGCAATTAAACTAATTTAAGAAAAAAATTATAAAGCAAAAATTGCAGCATCTCAAAGAGATGCAAAATTACAATTATCTTTGAAACCGGAATCCAAGCATTTTTCCCTGGGGAATTGTACTGCTTTAAATGACAATCCTAGCATTTTAACCTCTTCTTGAACTGCCCCTGTAATCAAGGCCAATAGGGAGGAGGGCGGCAGAAGGGCCATTTGGCCTGGGCCTCAAGCTCAAAGGAGGCCTCAAATTTAGACACTTATTAACTTTTTGGCACTTGGTAAGTTTCACAAATTTTTGTTATGCACATCCCTATATCAGACCAAAATGTGACACACTGGCATGGCTTACAGCTGCACATTTAAGCAAATAAGAGATGTGATTTGGTAAAAGACATAACTTTTATTAACTAATAGATTTTGACCAAATCAGCCACAGTATTACAAAGAAATCTCAAAAGATCTCCGTCACAAAGTCATCTTCCTCAAATTAACATATTCCACAAACATTAAACTAGCTTGCAAGTCAAAGGAATTGCTTCAAGAAAAACTCAAACGTGGTGTCTGCATATTTTTGTCAGTTTGCCTTCATCAGTGGCTTCAGGGGAATGCACATTCAATGTGTTGAAGAAGGCAAAGAACTATCACCATTAAACTGTGGGACAAGAGCATTTGAATGGGCTTGCATTCAACTGTGACATTGTATGAAAGCTAGATTTCTCCTCAATAAGTAGTGCAGTTGCACAGAAAGGCTAGAAATGCATTTGTTAAATAGGAAAAAAAAGTCAAATAACCTCTCTCTTCTTCTCGTCCCTTATTTTGTTGTTGCCTGTCTCGGGTGTGTGGTTTTGATTTTTAGTATAGCTAGGGGGCTCAAAAGCTGGAAGGGTACCAGGGCCTCTCTGGACCTCAGAAGGTCTGCCTGGAACTTTTTGTTCCTCCCAGAACTGTAGCAGTGATGCTCACAGGTAAGAGCAATCCATATGCCTTTTCCCCCCACGCTCCTACCGATACTTGCAACCCATTTCCTTGAACGTGAGTTTCCCCAGGAAAGTGAGAGCAAAGGGCAGGGAAGGGAAGAGAAGGGGCTACTTTGCCCCAAGGCAGGCGCTGTGCACATGCTCACTCAGGCCGGGCCGAGCATTTTGCACATGCTCAGTAAGGGGAAGGGCGCGTTTTGATGCAGGGCTTATTTTGCTAGCGCGGCGGCGGCTGCCAGGGGAACTGCTGGGGCCGTCGCGGCGCTGCCATGGCGCGCTGCAGGCTGCCGGGACACCCGCGGCCCTAGGAAAGGGGCGTCGTGGGGCTGCGGCGTCCTGCGCTCCTGTTGGCTGGGGCGCGCTGTGGTAGGTGCCGGGTGTTCGCAGGGTGGGCCGTGGCGCTGCGTGCGATTTGCAGCGGGAAGCGGCGGAGATGCCCCATCGTCCCCTTTGGCCCGGTGAGCCCGTGTCCCCGGCGGCCCCAGGCACGGCGCGCGCTGCCTCCTGCCGAAGCGTCTTCAGTACCTCGGCCAGCACTAGGCTGGCGGGCAGTGGGAGCTGGGCGAGCGGGGGACGCGGGTGCTGCCGGGGTTGATGCTGCGCTGTGTGTGTGTGTGGG